TGTTGAGAAATGTTATCAAGTTCTTATAAAATGTGGGTTTTTGTGTCTTATCAAAATTCTGAATTTTAAAGAAGGCAAGACCCCTTTAATTTACAGATTTGGAAATGGCCTAGCAATTTGTGCATGGCTTGGCAGGCAGAGGAATGGAATAAGATTTAGATTCTATTCCCTGGGTCCTTGGGTTTCAGTATATTCAGGGACCTAGTTGTGTCATTAGAAACAGTGGAGGTTCAGTGGCTCTTCCCCATTCCCAAGTAGGAGCAGTCCCTCGAGCACTAATTTTTTCACCTTCTACGTAAGCATGTCTGACATGCTAGCGGAGGGTTCTACAGGCACATTGAAATGAGCGGGCCAAGTAATGGCATAACTTTAAGACCGTAATTTTGGCATCAGAGAAGAACTGGCACTCAGGCCTCCAGGTTCATGGGGATTAGTTTCTCTCCATTATACCAAATTTTCTTCTGACCTTTCTTCACACCTGCATGTACAACCAAGAGCCTTTGTTTCAGGGCCGTCTGGTCTGCTCTAAATGATGCTTACTAACTTGAACCCCGCACACGGCACATGCCCTCTCTGGGCTCTGATACAGTCGTTAAATGACACTGGGTGGTCGTGTGGATATGAGCAGTTCCTTGAGGGGAGACTGTTCTTTTTCTCTGTCTATTTCTCAGATACAGTCTCAGGAGGTGGTCTCAAGGGATTCTCGAAGTACAACCATTTGTATTATTTATGTTGCACTGGAGATAAACGTCTTCCAAGTAGTTTGGAGGAGAGCACATTGTTAGGGCTGCAGTTGAGTTTGGCAACCCCAGCGACAGTCAGAGGCAGGTGGCAGGGGCGGAGGATGTGGGAGGTGGCAGATGAAATGTGAGCTGTGAATTTCGTGACCAGATATTTTGGACTGTTTTGGTTTCGTTTTTTTCATGTATTTTTGTAATATATATCTGTTATACAAAACCTCAAAATTCGAGAGTAACTTATTAATGTTAGGTTATTTGGGAAGTATTTTTGCATGAATATTTTATGTTGTTAAAGAAAAAAGAATGCATATTTGTATGTTTGCATTTTTAAATTCATTTCTTTAACTATAGTAAAATAAGAAAAAAGTTCTAAGAATCGCCTCTAAAATTGCTGAGACTATTAATCAATCATTGCACTAATGATGAGGTCTTTGTCCCAGAAGTTCATTAACATCACACAGATCTGGAAGAAGTCATCAGTTACCTAGACAGACCCATGTAGTCAGGTGAGGCAATTCGGACCGGGAGACAGTTAGCAAACCTGTGTCTCGTGACTCATTAATGACGGACTCCATCTAGCAGTCAGGGTTCTTGGCCTTCCGGTCCAGTGATCTTTTTTCAAAAGAACAAATGTGGACAGAGAATCTGTGTCCAAAACGTGGTAGGCATTGAATGATTTATGCAGTTAGGGTGAGAGCATCTTGCAACGTGCGACAGATCAGGGCTTTCGGATTCAGGCCCAAACTGAAGTTTGCTGCCTCTCAAGAGTGGCCTTGGGCAAACAGCCTCTCTGTTTGCATCTTTTCAAAAGGCAGATGATAAGAACTACTTGTGAGGGATATAGGGATATTGTGAAGATTTGTGTTTGTTTGTAGAGGACCAAATATAGTGCTTGGTGTATAGCAGAGTCTGGTCAATGTAGCTAGCTACTGTTAAAATTTATTATTTCTGCTGTGAACAGACAAAAATAAACTCTGAAAATAGTACATGCTTTGTTAGTAGGCACTCAGATAAATTGTGTAGAGCAGTGTCAAATGAATAAATGCTACCAAACAACCGATGTTGCTATTAGACAAGCCTTGCTCTCACTTGTGAGTTTGTATCCTATTTTATTTTTCTCAAACATGTATTTAGGCAAAAGCTAAACTGCCCTTGGTTATGAAGATCATATTGAAAGTTAAATTAGTATAACAGCTAGGACTAGAATTCATGCATTTATAGTTTATGAGAGACAGGCAGGAAAGGCAGTAAATTTGGGGTCAGTAAAAGCCGAGTTTGCACATGACTGAGATCTTCCAGTTGCTGGTTGCATGATCTTAAGCAAGTCACTTCATTTCTCAGCCTCAATTCCTTAGTCTGTAACATAAGGCCAGTCACACCTGCTTCTCAGATTTGCAGTAAGGATCCAATTACATGTTATAAAGTCTCTCCTGTTCCTGCAGGGCACTGTTAGTTACAACACTTACTTTCCTTCCTGCTGTACCAACCTTATGCTAATAAAAATGGGAGGAAACTTAAAGGACAAATCACTCTGCAAAAAGACAACTTAGAACCTTTACACATTCCTTGGGAGATACAAGGATATGTTCTTGTTAAGAATATGCAGTATTCCAAAATAGTAGAGACCCTTTACCTTTTCTGTGTGGCGGATGAGAAGCATTGGTAAGATAATTGGCCATGAGTTTTTCCTTCTGCATGTTTCAATACAATGTGAATGTATACTTAGCCCAAATGTCACATAGCATAATGTGAAGAAGAAAGGGCTTGCAGGAGCATGTGCAGAATTCAGAGTTCCGTGGCAAGAGGAGAGTAACTCTCTCTTCACATCAATGTTGACTACATTGTCTGCGGTTCTCATTCCCAATGTGTCGGGGATACTGTTTCCTATAATTCCCCACTGGTCAGGCAGAAACATGATTCAAAGCCAAAGACCTTACTGTTCTCAAGTATGATTGTTGTTAACTGCAAGATGCTGAAAACTTCCACATATTATTAGGCTGTAATACAATCCATGTAGTCTCCAAATCACCGAAAACAACCTGTCCTCCCCACACTCCGCACTGTCTGCGCTGATACCCACCCAGAAGATTGCATTAGTTCTGAACACAGCTTCACAGCAGCATGGCCTTTGTGGCCCGTGTCCAGAAGAGGGATGAGCAGGTGAGGAAAAGGTTCTAGAAGCCAACTCACATGAGAAAGGGTTAAAGGCATCAGGAAGAATTTCTTGAAAAAGATTGTAAGGGAGATATCAAGATGCTTCTGAGCATCTATGCTGAAAAGGATATATATGAAGCACAGAGAAATAGACAGTCTGTTGTAATGGCACTTGTCCTTAAAGAAATAGAGAAATGTTGTGTATCTACATATATACGTGAGCAAAATTGAATGATAAATGCAATACAGAAGTGTAAGTCACAAGCTTTCGGAATTCAGAGGAAGGAAAGGCTGTATCACCAGAAGAAATCAGAAAATATTTCAGTGAGGGGATAGTGTTTGGACTGTACACCAGAGAATGGGGAGAATTTGGGTAATCAGAGGTTTCTGAGAAAGTATTCCATGTGGAAGAGCAAATGTAGAGTTATGAAAGCAATATTGTGTTCCAGACATTGTTAAGTGCCCAGGCCGGTGTGGCTCAGGTGGTTGGGGCATTGTCTCATTGCTCATTGTCTCATTGTCTCGTACACCAGCAGGTGGTGGGTTCGTTCCCTGCGTATGGGAGGCAACCAATAGATGTTTCTCTCTCTCTCTCTCTCCCTCTCTCTCGATATATATGTATCCCTTCCTCTCTCGAATCAAATTTTAAAAAGATATTGTTAACTAAGAAGTAATATTAGTGAAGATCTTAATGTAAAAGCTTAAACCTAGTATACTTTCAATAGCTTTTCAAAAATAGATTTTTAAGGGCTTTTTTGTTATCTATAATCACATGCTACAATATACTTTATATAGAAGTCAGTCTAAAAATTAAAAAGTAGTGAAATACTTAACTTTTTCTGTATTCCAGACCCCTAAACAAAAACAGAAGAGAAAAAAAACCCATCTGATATCATCTAGGATCTGTTCAGTAATCTCCTCTAATAAAATGCTGCTTATGCCATGATAGCATAATAAAAATGAAATTTTGTCACAATTCAGGATGGTATGATATGAGAGATTGTCCTTGATATTTTAAAAAACTGTCATTTAGAAACATATGTATACTTGTTCTGAATTTTTCCTGAAGGCAGAAATAGGATCAGGGAGTGGTAAAAATGATGTAAACTCAACTTGACAGTTTCCCACAACTTAAAATCGTCTATTCATAGAAGAGATGACCCCATTAAAACAGGTTGCTTCATTGAAAGTACTCGGAGACTTGCTAATACTGTATCAGTATTGCTAGAGAATGCATTTCTGGCCCTGGCAGGTGTGGTTCAGTTGGCTGAGCATCTTCCCATGCACCAGAGGTTGCCGGTTTGATGCCCTGTCAGGACAGATGCCTGGGTTTTCGGCTCAATCCCCAGTAGGAGGCATGCATCTCATCGAAGTTTCTCTCTCCCTGTCCCCTCCTGTCTCTCTCTAAAAACAATTTCAAAAAAGAGAGACTGAATTTCTGAATCCAGTTATAAGTGAGACGCTGAGGATCTCTATGTGAGGGTACATCCAATCTGCAGACATCCAGAAAGCAGTGAGAAGACAGATCCATTTTCCTAAATTATAAATGGTTCATCCTTTTCAGAATTCAAGGGTGGAGTCAGATACCAGCATATTATTTTATGCAGAATTCAATCCAAACTTTTACTTTATTAAGTCAAGAACGCCATCTAATTTAAACCGTATTGTACACGTATTGTTAATTCTGCTGGGAAAAAAATGCGCCTTGTAAAAAATAAAAATAAATTCTATTCAAATATTTGACATTATTAAATATGTCAAACTGGCTTAGCTATGGCACTTTTATTAGTGTCATCAGATATTAAGTAAGACCAGAATGTTCTTGGATTCAGTTCCTGAAAGACATTTGATTAACTATTTTATATAAATATTTGCCAAATTAGAATGCTATTTTATATCTAATATTCATATGTCGTGCAGCTACATGTAACACTGTGTGAAGTTTAAGTCCATAAGTACTGTAAACATTCATGATAAATTAAGCTCTTTGCCTTGGTATTTTGGAACTTAAGCCAGACAGTTGAATTTTCTTGATCAACCAAAGCCATGTGGAGAAGCAGAAATATGTGCTTGTGAATCTAAGATCTCTCTTTTTGTTGTTTTCAGCTGCAGTATTGAAGTATGAGAACAACGTCATGAATATCAGGCAATTCAACTGTTCTCCTCATCCATACTGGCTTCCAAATTTCATGGATGTTTTCACTTGGTCTCTGCCATTTGTTGGGGAAAAAGGTGTGTTGTGGAATCCTGAAATGCTCTTAATGAAATGGTACAGGAAGGAGAGGAGATGGGGGTTATTTTACCATGAAACATTGGAGCCTAACGCAGTGATTTTCAACCTGGGTGCTGCAGGAAATTTTAAAACTGCACTACCTGACTATTTAGTCAGGTGCACTGACCTCTTTACCCTTAGATTGTCAAATAAAAAAAATGACAACAGGCAGCACCATAATAGCTTTCTAGTATGAACAAAACAAAATTATACCTAATTTTTTGTCAGATCAGCAAAAAATATATTTTTTGGTGTGCTACAGAATTTTAGTTATTCATTTATGTGTGCCCTGAGATGAAAAAGGTTGAAAGTCGCTGGCCTAACCAATAAAACTGACAAACTGCACAACGAGAGGTATGATTTGAAAGTGTTGATGAATATCTTATTAAAAGAATACAATGAATGAATTAACATTCCACAAAAGAAATAGGGACTTGGAAGAGAATTAACATAATCTCAGAATAATACAACTCAGAAATAACACAAATGTCATTTTAATTGGTTTCAAGTCATAATGACTACCTTTTTAATCTCTCTATATTATAATGTAAAGGTACTATTTTATTTTATAACTGCTCATCAAATTAAAAGGTTATGATAACAATGCTTTTTTCACATTTCTGATAGTAAGAGTAATAATTGTATAATAATGATTGATGACTACAATATTTTGAAGAACTACATGTACAAGAACAAAAAGTAGTTTAGTAAAAATAGTGGCCATTAGTGTGTTACAGGGTGAGACATATTTACATTTAAAAAGTTGTCTATTAACTTGCCCCAGTTTTCCAGAAGAATTAGCTTTCTTTCCTTCCTTCCTTCCTAAATATAAAAACAAAACAAAGGTTCCTCCCTCCCTCCCTCCCTCCCTCCCTCCCTCCCTCCCTCTCTCTCTCCCTCCCTTCCTTCCTTCCTGCCTTCTGTCCTTCCCCCTTTGTTTTGTTTTTATATTTAGACCTAAACCTCAGCAAAAATGTTGATGCAGGGCCGCAGCTCCTGAGTCTGAGTGTTAGGCTCAGCGACCCTGGCGGGGCTGGGCTGGCTCCTTCTCCATGCCCGTCTCACTCATCACAGGAGAAGCTGACCAGCACTGTAATCAAGATACGAGTTTGCACACGTTTCAGAAACACTACACATATTTCTGAAATATTTGTTTATTTACAATAATTAATTTATGCAATATTTAGTTTCCTACTGTATTGTTTTTCTTTAAATGCCCTAAAATGAGTAGGAAGTTATGAATTTGTCAGCAAAGAAGTCTTTATTTTATATACCAGAATAAATCTAAAGTGAATTTTAATAGTCCCTGGTAAACGTTCCCAGTTCTAGTCCATGTCACCACCCTCTTGCTCTGGTCAGGTCACAGACCTCGGTGTCCTCTGTTGTGCTCTCTGGAGACAGAAGCAATGCAGCTCCGACCGCCGCTGGGCAGCCTTCGCACACCCTCCACTTGAGTCGTTTCCGTTAATTATTCAGATTTTGAACACCTATGATCAAAGAACATTAATGTAATTGTATACATAATCACTTTTGATAATTAAAATGAAGCTCTGGACTAATGTTTTCCTACTGAAAGTTTACTCTTTATCGTATATTTTCAAATCTAGAACATTGATTTTAAAAAGTAACTCTTGAAGAAATAGTGGACAAGCTTCTTTTCACATTCATGATAGACCCTAGCCTAATTTTTTTAAATGTTAGCTGTAAATAGAATGCACATTAGTGTAAAAATGATGCAATGTTAATTTTCTGTGTATAACACTTTTGTGTATTCTGTTTACTAAACTACGTTTCTTATTAAATTTACCTAACCTTTATTTTTTTAAGATAATAAAATATAACAATATCTACATTTAAATGTTCAGTTTATTAATCAATCAACAGATTTTATTAAATGCAAAGCACATGCCTATCGCTGTGCCGGGTCTCTGGAGAATTAAAAATAGGTATAAAGCGATCCAACATTTACCTAGTCCCTGCGGAGCAGAAGTTTGTAATCTGTTCTCAATCTAGATCTCATTATACAAATAAAAATTCAAAAGTAACATCCTTCATAGATTTATAGTATATTCATTTTCTCTTTCATAGATTTATAGTATATTCACATCCATATATTTGATTTGTCTATTGTCTCCTGACCTATAGCTAGTAAACCTTACCATTGGATTTTGTAGGCACAATCTAATAATTTTATAAACATAGTCTATATAAAATTATAAAGCCTCTTATTTTTTGTGACCTGGATTTTATAGAAACTACTTTGTAGGAGATTCTGTCTACAAACTAGGTAAGAAATGTTATTGCTAAGCTTGCTCATTAAAAATGCCTGAGAAATAACTAAGGTTATGATAGAAAATCTGGACTTCTTTTTTATTGTTGTTGTTGTTTCTCTTTAGTGACTGAGATGCTGGTAAATGTCCTCAACATCTGCTCAGACGATGAACTAGGGTCAGAAGAAGATGGATTTGATGGTAAGAGGCTTGAGCCTTTGTGCTCATGCTATTCGCCAGATGAATTCCGTAATATCTCATTGCTAACCCTAAGAATGAATGTCTAAGATATGGATTTTTTTCAATCATAATATACTATTGAGAATGAAAGATTATAATTTTTATTTGCTTTGAAAACATAAGAAATGAAAACCTTAAGAGAATTTTTCCATTAACCTGAAAACATTGTTGAAGTAGTGAACTGTTTTAAGAACCATCTTTCAGTATCTCACATTACTAAGTAACTTCTTTTTGTCTCCTTGATTAAAAAAAAAAAAATTCAGTCCTTTATTTCCTAGCAGATGTTACCATTTACTGGTAATTTTTATCTATTTATTTTTATCCTCACCCGAGGCATTTTTGCAATTATCTTCAGATGGAGCGGGAGGGAGAGAGGGAGGAAGAGAGAGAAACATCCATGTGAGAGGGACACATCGACTGGTTGCCACCCATACGACCCCAACCAGGGCCAGGGACGAAAGGCAACCAATGTATGTGCCCTTAATGGGAACTGAACCCAGGACTCCCTGGTCTGCAGACCAATGCTCTAACCACTGAGAAAACTGGCCAGGGCTACTGGGTAACTTTTAAAAGTGCCCTTTAAGCCCTGGCTGGTTTCGCTCAGCGGTTAGAGCATCGGCCCGCAGACCAGAGAGGCCCGGGTTCAGTTCCCACTAAAGGAACGTGCCTCGGTTGTGGTTTGTCCCCGGCCCGAGGATAAAAAAAAAAAAAAGAAAGTAAATAAAAGTGCCCTTTAAATGAGATTGATCCTGTCAGTTATTCAGATTTTAATGTCTATGATAAAAGAAGATATTTACATATTACTATATTGATATTTATGTGAATCTCAATATTTTTATATGTGTAAGAAGTAATGAATAAGCTGTTAGGTTTTTAAAATTATTGTTTTTTAGGATGCTATTTGTGTTCAGCTACCCTCAAAAAGCATGCTTTCTCTGTAAAAGACAAAGATTGAGGAGGTTAGAGATGGAGAGAAAAATTACTCTGCTCCTTAGAAAGGCACCCCAGAATGAATGAAAAATAACAAAAAAGTAGTTAGAAGAGGAAAGTGCAAGAGCACCCTTGACTTCCAGAAGCGTGTCCTAAGAACCATACCACTTAGTGTGGGGCGTTCAGGGTTCCAGGACTCCTGCGACCTGATGAAATTGCAGTCTGGTTAGAGAGAAAGGTAAGTAAACAGATAATATCGATACAGTTACACAAATTATGAAACAAAGGGTGAAAGTGGCAAGGGAAACAGATATTATGGCAAGTTTAAATTGATAAACTCTTTACCTTTAAAAACTGTGCTTAGGTAAAATAAAGAGAGAAAGTGACCCCTTCTGAAAGTTATATCTGAACAGTGTGATTTAATGTTCTTTTGAGTTTAATACAAGTCACATCTATAAATGCAGAATACCTAATGCTGCAGGCAAAAAGTAAAAAAGAAGTGTTGACTCATTCATATAAAATGAGTCTATATACGTAGGTAAATTTAAAACATACAATTATCCCTACCATCTCATAGTTTTTCTCCTTCTGTAACTTCTCTTTGTCTTCATTACTTGAAGACATCCATATGCTATTCTCTAGTCGTATATCACATTGCAAGGGGATGTACAATATAAGGAAGGAGAGGAAAAATATATATATATACACACAGAGAGAGAGACTTTTACTAGGTTAGAATTATCTAAAGAATAATTGTAAAAATTTAAGTGAATCTATGTATATATTTTGAAATATTAAGGAAACTAGTAGCTGTTTTGTACTTTATCTAGATTCTAGATGTTTCATATGTTAGCCACAGTTTGCTACTGTTAACTCTTCCAGGGATACTGATATCATTTAACAGATGATATTTTCATGATGGCAGAAATATTTTTGCTAAAGGAAAGATACTAACCTGGTGAAATTTAAATCTTAAAAGTCAACAAACACTTTTTAATAGATGCCTTTCACTTTATTTCTTTTATTTTTCAAAAGAAAGATTAACATTAATACAGTAATACTCCTCTGTTAACAAATTTCTGTCATAGTCAAATTTGTTGGCCAATAATTTTAATATAGACATATAATTAAAATGTAACATATAGTATAGAATGCCTAGGTTTGTAATTATACATAATCCATTTGCTCAGTAACTACATATTGAGCACCTACTATGTGCCAGGTATTGTAGCCAAAAATGCCTGCACATTTTAACAGTACAGGTGGGCATCCCTACACAGTTAAATATGATCAAGACTCAGTGTTTACTTCATTTAAAGTGAGTTATTATAACCCACCCTCCCAGTCACTTACATGAAATAATATATTTTATGACTTTTTAAAATAATTAGTTCCAATCAGTGTGCTCTGCTTGTCCTCACTTGCCTGTTAATTTCCATTAGGGACCTGGAGAACATTATGCTAAGTGAAATAAGCCAGTCAGAGAAAGACAAATATCACATGATCTCACTTATTTGTAGAATATAATGAACAGAATAAGCTGATGAACAGAATTGATCCAGAGACATGGAAGTAGGGAACAGTGACAAACCTCAGAGGGAAAGGGATTTGTAAGGGGGGGGGGGGGGCAGGAAGAGATAAACCAAAGAACTTATATGCATGTATGCATAACCAGTGGACACAGACAATTGTACCCTGAAGGCCTTGGTGAAGAGGGGGAGGGGGAGGGGGTCGCAGGGAGGAGAGTGTCAATGGGAAAAGGAGGGACATCTGTCTGTAATACTTTCAACAATAAAGATAATTTAAAAAAAAAAAAAAGTAAATGCCCATATCAGGGCATTTTGAAGAATATGTTCTTTCTAAGCAGACCACTGAAAGCTCATTCGGCCACATTCAAATCTGTGTCTGTCCTGCAGGGAAATACCTGTGGCCTCTAAACATGATATTTCAGCTCAGCTCTCATAAATAGGCCCTCTTGGGAATAAATAAGGCAAATGTGAGTATTAACTAAAAGTATGTTTAATTTAGGATATTATACATTTCAGAGTAAACCACCAACAGTGTTCTTAGCATGTTATTTGACATGATACAAAAACTATGGGCTTCTTTAAAAGGGCTTAAAGAACAACTTGTAAAGCTTCCCAGGACTCTGACTCTCTTTGGAACTGCAGTTTCTTGTAGTTTCTTTTCTTCCTTCCTTTTTTGGGTAATATTGTTCTCAACCTCAGGGTGGTTTGCAGGCTGCAGTCTGTCTCTCTGGGGACAGGCTCTGTGTTCTGCCTGTCGGGCTCCTGGGCTTATTGGCTGCAGAGGTGAAAACAGAAATCAAAGACATCAGTGGGCTTAATTAAACCTCTTCCTTAAATTGCTTTTAGGCTAAGGGTGAGTGGGTGGGGGATCTCTTCATGAGTCATTTGTGTGGGCCTCCTCAATCTTTTGCTCCATATCCAGTGTTAACTGAAAAGTCAAAGATAGTGAGGTGCCTTTAGAATCGAAGACTGTCTTTTTGTCTTATCAGGTTGAATTCTTAGTGTCTATAAATCTAGAGAAAATAGAGGTTCTTCTCATATTCTTGAGGAATTGTTACCAGACATCCCCCTGAATCAAAGGGGGGGGGGGGTAGGTTGTCCCCTCCTTGGCTCTTGTCAGTCTTGTGAATTTAGATGAGTGACAGACAGCAGTTTTGAAGCAAAGCAAGCGAATTTATTCAGAATACACTTGGCATAAAGCACAAGCAGACAACTCAGCTAGTCTGAGCACATACCTGGTGGGTGTTCAAGGAGTTTTATACCCTTCTTCTTATAGGTTTCAAAGCTTTTCTGCCAGATGTCTTGGGTAGCTGGCTGATTTTCAGAGTTCTCTTCTACATTGTTGTGACTTATCTCAGAATGTTTGTACATAATTATCTGGTCATCTTGTTGGGTAAGTCCTAAGATGATGACTGACTTCTTTGTTTAGTGGGTGAGATTCAGCTCACCCTTCTTTCCCCCTTCTTCAAGACAGCTATGTTTCCTGTCTAACATCCCCCCGGTGATACTTATCCTTGGGTTTAGCTGGCACAAATGGTAGTAATTGGGTCTTTGTTCTCTAGTTTCCCAGGGCAGGGTCATTTAAGTACGAATTCTCTGGTTAGGGAGGAGAGGTATAAACCATTTGCTCTCAAGTGTCCTCGGTTGGCGAAGATAAGATTTTGGATTCACAGGCTGACTGCAAGCTGCCCAAACTGTTTGGCCTTGTTTAATTTTCAAATTTATAATTGCTGTCATTCGTGTGTGTGTGTGTGTGTGTATGTGTGTGTGTGTGTGTATTCTTACTATCTCTAATCCTCAAAGCAACCTGTTGATATGGATACTATGATCACCCCTATTTTACATCTGAAGTGATTAAGCCACGGTGAGGTGCAGTTACAGCCCAAGGTCACACAGCCAGTGAAGTAAGGGCCTGGATCCAAGGGAAAGCGTACCTGGCTCTCAGACCCTTGACCTCTGTCACCTGATTACCGTGCTCGAAATGTTTTCTTTGAAACAGTGCGATGCCTTTTTAAAAACGAAAAAAACAACACTCATAACTAAATGTAATATATTTTAGTTTTTTCTGCTAATACCCTATAAAATAAAGAAATAGATTTTTTGCACTATTATTTGGCCATGAAATTTTAATACACTGCCAGTAAAACAGTTTTATTCTGTTCCTAAAGCCATAGTTTACTCTGAGAAGTTATGTTTCATGGTGTTAAAAATGTTAGCGTAGCTGAGCAGACAAAAGGCCTGTGGCTCACCTAGGCGTCTGCTGCAGAGAAATCTGGTCGTGCATCTCTCCTGCCCAGCTTCTGCCTTACACAGTAAAGGAGTTTGATAGCCTGTCTACAAAAAGTTGCTGTTTTCTATTGGTCTGTGGTTCTTTTATGTTGCAAATAAAATACAAAACCTCTATTATCTTGTAAAGTTTTGAAGCAGTTTTAATGCCAATGCTTGTCTTCTGAGGATCTAATTTATATGTATTGGGGTCTTTGTTTCCGGTTTCCGTTTCTG